AAAAAAAAACCCCATAAAACAAATTTCCCAGTTATTTGAAAAACAATTTAGAAAAAAAAAAAAACTAAACTTTTAATCCACAGATTCCCACGTTTTTATTGTTGACAAGCGACAGAACCAAATTTAAGCCCCATTGAATGTAAATATACCTTTAAATTGCATAATCGCTCGCTAAGGGTAAAGTTAAGGGAAATGTCTCCCACGAAAAACAGTAGTCGCACTTTTTGCTCTCCCAAAAGCACTCATCTTGTGGGGGGGGGGGGAATTTGTGACGATAAATAAATAAATAAACAAAGACAAAAACTGGGAAAAGTAAAAAAAAAGTAAAAAAAAACTCACTTGAGAGTCAGTAAAATTCTTCCAAGGACCAACCAAGTAGTTGGTAACGAAGGGCTCGTTGGGCCGAAACTCCTTGAGGAAGCCAAAGACGCACAGTATGCCCGATATGACGTACCACTCCATGCTCGGCTCCCCTTGGATTTTCGTCCAAGTAAAATGATAACTCGCGCGGTGGTCGTCAACTCAAACAGCCAAAGTAGCCCTGCTCGAGCCTTCCCGTGCCATTGAATAAAAGCCACATTTGTTCCAAACACCCACAGCAACGATCCTTCCTCGCTCGAGTCGATGAAAAGCTCGTGTCGCGTGCTTACATTAACCCACGCTCTCGTTTTGTATACTTGCAGGGGGAGGGGGAAAGAAAAAAAATAATAATTCACGCGGAAATCAATTGTACTCTGCACACACTCCGACTTCGCGACGCGTTCTGTCGGACTGACCGAGCGATGACAATAAAAACCTACACGAGCGCTGCAAAACACGAGGGATTATTAAAAAAATATTATAATAATAATGATGATGATGGTGAATAAATTCATTGCGCAGCTGCGCGGGTGCATGCGTATTGCGTACACGATGTTACCCTGGTTACCCAACAATCGTGTGTTCTACTCTATGCTTAGTATACTAAACTTATACGTGGAGTGAACCGAGTGAAGAAGATATAACGTCATTCAAACCATTCAAAGAATTGGCGCGCAGCGACGAGAGGCTTTGAATTACCTCTTTTGTAGATAATTTGGTGGTGGTCATACATTTTTTATATACTTACAATGGTTCTTCTGCGTTACAGGATTACTTTTTCATAGATGAGATGGTAAGTTTTTCTTTGATCTAACATTGGATAAAACTGTTGTTCTTGAAATGGGGTGAGATCATTTTTTTTTTTTTTTTTTTTTTTTTAATAGGAAAGTAATCCAAATGTATTTCATG